TAGTTCTAAGAACTTAATTTAGCTTTAATAACCATTTTGCATTTAAAAGATCAAATGATCCGCAGTCTAATTATTTTAAAAAATTGCTTTCAAGAGAAAAACTACCAAACTATCCAATAGTTCTAAGAACTTAATTTAGCTTTAATAACCATTGTGCATCTAAAGTGTTTATTATTGTGTACCCAAACAACTTTAAATTTTATTTACAAAATATGTGTCACATATAAAGGTGGAGTGGAATCATTTATTTAATATATCTCTATTTTGTTTTTCCTGTTATTTATCTGTGTTTATATTTTAGAAACTATTAAAAATGATTTTAGAGTCAAACATTGTTAGAGAAATTCCAAATTTGTTTTTCTTGGCAAGTAAAATTTTTAACTTTTATGAGTGATGATCTGACTCTCGTAACTACTTTGTTGCTCTGTAAGCTTCATGTCTGGTGTCCTCATGAGCACTTGGTATGTTCCTGGGCACAGAGTAGGTGTTCATTAAATATTGCTTTAATGAATAAATGTACAAGTAAATGAAATGGCAAAATCAGATATGGTTTTAATAACAGCTGAAGCTAGATGTGGTCTAGCTGCATAAAAGTTAATCACACTTCATTGCTGTTAACAGATAACTATCCTGTTAACTAAGAAGGGGAATAATCTGAATTGGGAGGTTGGAGAAGGCAGAAAACCCTTCCAGTGTGGTGTTAGATTTTCATTTACAAAGAAAAATGCAGGGACATGGCAATATTTTATGGTGGTAGCTTTAGCTACTAAGAACACTTTTAAAAAATCAATTCTCTAACAAGTTGTTCCTGGCAAAAGCAACTACCAGTTGATAAAATGTGTTTGCACAGTGATTACCTTGAGCTAACTTGCCAACTTTGGGAAAGGACTAGAGGAGGGCAAGTAATGTCTGCTAGGTGCTTGGCCTGGGCTCTGTGGGACTGTTGAGGACAAGCAGACCTGGGTCAGCGCTGGCTTGCTGCAGGGGCTGTGTACTGGGGTAGTCAATAAAACCGTGAAGCCTCTCTGAAGCATATGGAGTCTGAGTTGATGGTTTGCTTTTCATTTTTGTCCATTTTTCCCATTCTTAATGCTGAAATGCAAAAGTCTGGAAGGCCCTCACGACAGTCCAAAATAGAGTCTAAAGTAGAATTTACCAAGCATTTAGTTTGCTTTTTCTCAGGTGCCATCTCATGAAATACGCTTGTATTCAACACGGATCTGCCTGTATTCAAATAAAGCTGTAGACTAGTGTTGCTAGGACATGGATTTGTACTGTTTTACCAACAGTGGGTGTTGATGTAATCTGGCATGTATTTTCATGAACGCTGTCAGGCAGCATACTTGTACCAAGAACAAAGGAAAAAGTTCATCTGGCTTTCTTGCAATTGTATGTGTGACCACATCCATTCCTCACATTCACTCACATTCAATTTAATGCCCAGATAAGCATTATGATGTGTTTAACAGCATAGGCTTAAAAGCTACATGAACCTGGGCTAGTTATTTGAATTGTCTTTGCTTCAGCTTCCTAATCTGTTAAAAAGATGCAAAAATAGTACTTATCTCAAAGGGTTGTTGTGAGGCTAGGCTGAGTGGAAATATACAGAGTATTTAGAATATGGCAGGCACGAAGTAAACAATAAATAAATATATTATTACAATTATTATTGTCGTTACTGTTATTCTTAGTACTATTATTAGATATTTTGTTCTCTTCATTGTAAGCCAAATCTAATGAAGGAAAGATAGGCCAATATCTCAGAGGGTTGAATATTTTATACTCTAATATTTATTTTCTTCTCGCTCACCTATGTGTCAATAACATGTTTGTGAATGTTGAGGTGAGGATGTAGAAGAATATCAACAGCAAGGGGAGAGGTAGAAGCTTAACCTCAAGGAAGAAGGTAGAAGAAAATGGGATGGCCATCTGTGAAGGTTAATTTTAGGTGTCAGCTTTACTAGATTAAGGGATACCCAGATAGTGGGCAAAGTATTATTTCTGGGTGTGTCCACGAGAGTGTTTCCAGACAAGACTGGCATTTGATTCTGTGGACTGAGTAAGGAAGACTCATCCTCATGCAATGTGGGTAGGCTCCGCCAAATTGGCTGAGACCTAGATACACAAAAAAAAGGCAAAGAAAAGGGCAAAAATAGTACTTATCTCAAAGAGTTGTTGTGAATTCTTTCTCTTTCTCTCCTGGAACTGGGACACTCTTCTTTTCCTGCCCTTGGATAGCAGAACTCCAAGTTCTCTGGCTTTTAGACTGGGGAACTTAACCTGGGTTCTTAGGCCTTTGGTATCAACTGAGGAGAGTAACACCCTCAACTTTGCTGGTTTTCAGGTTTTTGAACTTAGACTGGGCCACATCACTGGCTTCCCTGGTTCTCCAGCTTGCAGATGGTCTGCCATGGAACTGTTCAGTCTCTGCAATCTCATGAGCCAATTCTCATACAGAATCCCTTATCCTCTATCTATCTATCCATCCATCCTATTCTGTCTCTGAGGAGAACCTTGCCTAAAACAACACCTCTAAGCTTCACTCCAAGAGAGTAAGCAATATGTTTTATTAAATTGTATTATCATTTACAATGAAGATTTTATAATTTTATAACAAGATCCTAAAATCTCAATGACTTACTATGAATCTTGTCATCGCCATGATATTGATTATCATGGTTATGCTATTAAATTTATTTTTAACAATGCAAAAGCAGAAGAATTCTTTCAGAAGGAACTCATACAAGTTAGCCATCTTCCTTAAGAAGGTAACACAAGCTATTCAGAACTGAATTATGCTGCAATTCTTACATTGCACTCTCTTCTAATATTATGGAACATTAGCTTTTCTAGCAGTCAAAACTTAACTGAAAACCTGCAATTGCTGATTTTCACCTAATGGAATTGAACCATTGTCAGTTTCGATAGAGAAGCAGAGTAATGACTTTTCTAGCTAGCGGGAGTCATGGGAAGAAAAAAAATACTGAACACGAATAATTCAATACAGGCCCTGGAATTTTAAAAAATCTAGCAAAAATACTGAACACAAATAATTTGATACAGGAGCTGGAATTTTAAAAATCTAGCAAAGTATAGTCACTATAGCTGAGCTAAATTTTACATTAAGACGATTTGAAGAATGAACACAGTAGAGGGCAGGCTTTGCATTCAAAATAAAATGGCCTTGCTACATTAAAAAAGTAGACAGATATAATAGGATAAAGCTTAAGCAAGCAAGTGCAGGGTTTTTATTATTGATAGAAAGGGCTCCCTGGGTGACATGTATAAAGGATGGAGAAGTGCTGCCACTTTGTGGAGAAGATAGAAAGCATTATTAAGGGTAAAAACAGACTATAAACTACATGAGATCCACAGAGAAGCTCAATAATGCAAAGTGATTTTAACAAGCAATGAGAACTACAGTGTAATTCTATTTCTATATCCAATTTTGTTTATGGCAATAGATCCTGTGATGTAAGCAAGATTCCAAGAGAAAAGTAACCAGAAAGGACATAGAAATAATTTAGTAATGGACTGAAAACAGCTTTGTAAGGAAGACACGAAGGAACTAGAGATACTTGATCTACAAAGGAAAAGGGTGAGGTAGACTTGTTAATATGAGCCTTTGTTTTTCTTCTGGGGATTGAATCCTTATTTTTCCATGTTTCTTTCAGGTGGCAAAAACAGGTGAGGAAAGAGGGATCTGCAGGATGAATACTTATAAGTGTTACTTATAAGTAACTTGGTCAAAGACATATAGCTAGAAAATACCGGAGCCAAATTTCGGTCAGCATTTCCTTGATTCCAACATCCAGATTCTTTCCACCATCTTATACTCCCTCTCTGTTGGTATTTCTGTTGGCATTTTTAGCAATCCCTGCAAGTTACTAAACATTGCTGCTTTTTGACAAGGTGACTATGGTCACGTCTCACTACCTCTGAGTCCAATTCAATATCAACACCAGCTGAGCTTGTCAAAGTCTACAGATTTACTGTGGGCTTAGCTCATGCTAGTTATCTAGCTTTTTCTTGCTACCGGTTGTTATATATGTCAACACCTTCGGAATATAGCACAAAAAATACAGCCTCACTTTAGCTCAATCTGGAGGGACATGATATCGTCTGTATACCATTCAACACTTCAATGCATAAACCTACTTATATAACTCCTTGTTTAGTCCAGGTAAGACAGAGCACTGCTCTTAGTTCAAATACTCATAACAGTTTTAAATTATGCCCTACATATTTTAGGTTCTCTATTGTAACCCCGATGAAGATCTTGCTTCCTTACCATTTAACAACTTTGTTGCTGATGATGAGGTAGGGGTGAGAATTGTTTGTGTGTATGTGTATTTTATGTGTGAATGTCTGTGTAGTATGAAGAAGAATCAGTAATTGTAGAGTGAAAATAACAATAAGCGTTTAATAAAAACACTTTTGACTGTGTTAATAAATGATAAATGAATCAAAAAGAGAGGAAGAGGAGAAAAACAGAAAGAAAAAAAAGAAAGTAAAACAGGAGGCTAGAAGAAGAGGAAGCTTTGTAAAAGGTAAGGGGAGAGGAAAGTTAGAAAAGAGGGAGAAAAATTAAAGTGACTCCCAGGACTGTAAAACCTCACTTTAGGTGGCTCATGATACAGCATCACAGGCATCTACACATGAACACAAAAACGATAGTTTATACTTTGAAGGGAAGTCAGTGTTTGGATTTTTATAATATCAGAGTAGATTTGGAGCTTAAGGCAATAATTATACAGCATCCTTTGACATAGATTTAATGTTTCTAGCCCATTGTCAAAAACTATATATATTCTGGCCCACTGTTCAGAAATAGACATGGATTTTCACATCATCCGTGCCAGCTGTTTGTTCCTCGGTTGTCACTAATGACCTATACCACCAAGATGGAAAACTCGAGTTGGGACTTAGTACAAATCTATGTGACAAAACAAACTAATTGGTTTATCCAGTGACCAAACTCAGATGTTATAAATCTGTACCTGTCCATCTGTTCCAATGGTGCCACCACAGTCAGCAAGGAGTTCTGACATGTCATAGTAGCTAACGAACTCCCATAAACAGGCCTCTAGGTTCAGGTTTCGGTAGAAGCGTAAGGTATTGGAACCTCTGATAGATAAGCTGTACTGGTAAGGATATGTCTCGCCAATTATTTCCGGATTTTTGGTAGCATCAGTCAAGAAACCATAATGAGTCTTCACTTCAGTATAATCTAGGAGGTTGGAGCACTTGTGGTTTCCAACTCTTGTGCCATCAGGGCTGAGGGTGAGCTCAAAGTTGGAAAGCTCTCTAGTGGAGATCACAGGAAGCATGCCTAGGATAAATTGAAATCATTGTTAATATTCTTTCAGGTAGCCAAGAATTTTGAACACGTTAAAATTTCTTTATCTCTTGAGAAAACAAGTGTCATAAAATACTGCACAGCAGTGATGATCCAGGCTGGGCACTGTGGCTCATGCTTGTAATCCCAGCACTTTCGGAGGCCAAAGCAGGTGGATCATTTGAGGTCAGGAGTTTGAGGCCAGATTGGCCAACATGATGAAACCCCATCTCTACCAAAATTACAATAGCCAGGCATGGTGGCAGGCACTTGTAATCCCGTCTACTTGGGAGGCTGAGGAGGAGCATTGCTTGAGCCCAGGAGGCAGAGGTTGAAGTGAGCTGAGATCTCACCATTGCACTCCAGCCTGGGCAACAAGAGCGAAACTCCATCTCACAAAACAAAAACAAAAACGAAAAAACAAAAAAGTGGTAGCATAAGAACCCTTGGGTTCCGCAGGAAAATTTCAAGATATCCATGACTTAAAGGCTGTTTTCATAATGATACTAAATTATTATTTGACTTTGCCACTCATATTCTCTCACAAGTGCTTCTTTTCAGAGGCTACAAGATATGATAAATTGCAACAGATTGAATACAGAAGCAGAGAATCCAATGATTTTCTATTAAGTCAGACATTAATGATATCTTAAAATATAAAAGTACCACTCATTATTTTTTATTTTATAACATACTTTCTTAAAAGGATGTATTTATGTTAATATGTAATCTATTTATTTTTATTTTTAAGTAAGTGAATAAATATTTAACAATTCCTCAGGTTTAATTTAAAATCCAGTAAACATTTATAGCTGTCACCCACATAAACACAATGTCTTTGAGAGCTTCAATAATTTCTAGGATGTCCTAGATCACAAAAGTTGAAAACTGGCCATGCCCAGAGTGGCTCATGTATGTAATCCTAGCACTTTGTGAGGCCGAGGCAGGTGGATTACTTGAGGTCAGAAGTTCGAGACCAGCCTGGCCAATGTGGTGAAACCCCATCTGTACTAAAAACACAAAATTTAGCCAGGTGTGGTGGCACGCACCTGTAATCCCAGCTACTCAGGAGGCTGAGGCATGAGAATCACTTGAACTTGGGATGTGGAAGTTGCAGTGAGCTGAGATCACGCCACTGCACTCTAGCCCGGGTAACACGTAAGACTCTGTCTCAAAAAATATATATATATGAATAAAATAAAGGTTGAAAACTACTACTGATATATAGTACAGGCTAAGGATTGAAAATTTGTTCTGTAAAGGGTCAAATAGTAAATATTTCAGTATTGTGGGCTCTGAGGTCTCTGTTGACTGTTCAATGCTCCCATCAGAATGAAGGCCACTACCATGTGTAGGAATAAACATAACTCTGTGCAATAAAACTTTATTATGGATGGTAGATTAGAATTTCATACTACCTTCATGTTTCAAAAATAGTCTTCTTTTTTTTCCCCAAACATTTAAAAATATAAAATCAATTCCTAGCTTGCAGACCATATGAAAACAGGCAGCAGACTGTATCTGGTCACAGGCTTTAGTGTGCTAACCCCTGGCAAAAGCAATACAGCAAAAGACTATGAACCAGGCTTTCTCTTTGAATCTTCCTCATCTCTTCCTTTCAGATTCACTCAGAGCAAAACCTTGGACCCACAAAAGAAGCGGTCAGCCTCAACTACACTTCTGGCAGAGCTGTGGCTTTTGAACATTGAACGTTGCATTCAGAAAATGCAAAGCCAAGCCTTAGGAGTGGCATAAGAGACACTCTTTCTTTTAGGAAAGATCTGTTATAGGTCTATGTTTCCTTGATGGGTCCCTTCTCAGCCCTTTGCAGCTCCAGTTACACCTCCACATGGACCTAGAGATTGGGTGATTCAGGGACCAACATTATGCCACAAAGGAAGGAGATACAGATTTCTGGCCACCTGCCTTTCCAATCCCCAGAAAAATCTGAGGTTGTAATAGACAGACAGAACAGATGGTCCTGTTCTGGGGAGGTATATTCTACCTTACCGCTCCTCATGACGTTTCCTCTCCCTTAGCTACATAAAATATAACTAACATATAAAGTAATAAAATTAATATTAACAATTTGCTACAAGTATAAAGTGAATTGAGTGGAAAAAACTTGAAAATGCCTTCTGCATATAGTAAAATATTCATAAAGTATGATAAAGTTATTGACGCACACGTTCTGGTCACAGCTCCCTAGCCAGAGAAAAGAAATACAATACATAATACCTGTTAGTTTCATTTTTTGTTTTATTTAAATATCTGGGAAATGTCTTAGTGACATGATAAATACTGAGAGAGACATAAAACTCCAGCTATAAAATTGCCAACATATGTTGCAGGTAGACACTAAGATAGCAAATACTTTACTGTAACTTCAAGTCTACGATTGAAGATACATTTGTGCTGTTTCATAAAATCTAGTATTATATCTATCTAATTTTAAAGAATGCTTCAATTGCCATAGTTATAAAAGCTGGGTAGAACAAAGCTAAAACCGTTCAAGGAGGCAGACGGACTTGAAGCTCAAGTTGCAAGGTGAACATCTGTTGAAGCTTGGTTGTTTAGAAGATGAAGGAAAATACACCAGGTAACGAGGAGTCCAGAACAATTCCATGGACTTGCTTACCCAAGTCACCTACCGTCTATGTGCGGCATCGTGACAGTGAGCTTGATAAGGTTTGTGTAGTCTGGGTCCTCAGGACCTGTGTAGCGCAATTTAGCTGAGAACGGCTCCGCCCCAACAACCCCAGGTACACGGGGCTGACAAAGACCTTGAAAAATAATGAACACATTTATGCTAAAAGAAGGTAATTGATAACATCTAAAGAATGTTTTTACAAGTAGGAGCTATTATTTTTCTATGTGGTTTAAAATTCTCTGTGGAGTAGGACATGGCTGACAGTGCACATCATGTCATAAAAAAGCAGAAGGGCCACAGGGTGAGAAATAATCACAGCAGACAGTTTGGTGGCCACTTGACAACTTAGGGATTGTTTAAACTTTGAGAAAAAAGTTACCATTCAATGTAACTTAATGTGTGCTGGTTATTCTAGATCATGCTCATATTCACAAAACCATTTAAAGTATGAACAGACACAGTAAAAATGATTGAAAGTCAGTAGGATAAAAGTAAGTATAATTAAACCAAGTAAATTTAGTTTTTACTCCAGAATAATATACTTATGATTAGTTATGTTTACATTACTTAAAAGTGAATAAAATGAAAAATATGCTCATTTTAGGAACTAAAACTAACGTCTCCTTAAAAATCAGAGGGCAAAATGTGCACAGCGGAGTTTTCCCTATATATGTAATTTTTTTACAGTATGTGTGTTATATATTATAAACCATTTTATATTCATCGCTCTATCTTTCTCTCATATCTCTCAGTGATCTTCAATAATTTGGACATAAAACTCTTTCTCCAATATTTCCCTTAAGAAAATAGTAGTGTTTATTTGAACATCATGAAAGGGACCAAGATGCTGGATTATAATTTTAAAAGAACTTGGAAAAATATAATTTCTTTTCTATTTGTATAAGACAGAGAACATACATAGGTATTTACTAGAATAGCAATCAGAAGCAGGCCCCGGCATACAGGCTGTCTGATTTATTAAAAGACAGAATCATTTTAAGGTATTATTTAAACATTTGATCCTGAATATATCATAGTGGCAGGTAGGACATATGACCTCTCTTTATGCAACAAATTTACTTTTGAATGCAGTATGCAAACAGATGATTTAGAAATTGAATCAGATATATACACAATCTTTTTTTTTTTAAACATTAAAAGCCTGTAATCCCAGCACTTTGGGAGGCCGAGGTGGGTGGATGATGAGGTCAAGAGATCGAGACCATCCTGGTCAACATGGGGAAACCCTATCTCTACCAAAAATACAAAAAATTAGCTGGGCATGGTGGCGCGTGCCTGTAATCCCAGCTACTCAGGAGGCTGAGGCAGGAGAATTGCCTGAACCCAGGAGGCGAAAGTTGCGGTGAGCCGAGATC